CTGCAATATTAGGCATTACCCCAGCTTTAACTGTGGTAATCCAACTGATAAGCTTTACATTATTAGAAGCATTTTCAAGCAGTTTATTGTAATGTGCTTTTACAGACAAGGACGACGTCAGAGTACGACCTATAAACTTGATTTGTTTAACTTGCTCTATCGAATGATTGTTGACCTGCAAATTTATCTCCTTTTTACAGTTTTTGATAAAATGTATTACTTTAGTTATTTGTAAATTAATGACAAGGTTCAGACTATTACATCTTCTTACAAACTCATTGACTTTCTGCTCCAGCTTGACAGTTAATCTCTTAAAATCCCAATCGTGTATTAAAATAAGAAAATCATCCGCAAATTGATATACATCAGTCCAATTATCCTCACATTCATGTAAAGATCTGGTATATACATTGAACAGAAGTGGAGAAAGGCAGCTACCTTGTGGTAACCCATTACCTACAGTAACTTCACTTTTCCCAAGCCGTAATACCCTTTCCTGCAAGAAGGACCTAATCCAGTTTACATACTTGCTTTCAACCTTAAAACCCTTTAGCATATTAGACAAAGACAGCGTCGGCACACTGTTATACGCATTACTAATGTCCACAACAACTGCCACAACTTTTTGACCTCTATCCTTGTACACATGAATATTTTGTAAGATTTCGTTTAAGCACATGGAGGCAGACCTCCCCTTACGATAAGCAAAACATCTATTTGGAAGCACACCCTTTTCAGCTAGGAAAGGGTCCAATCTGGCCTTGACCATCAAATTAACAGTTTTAAGAAGAACCGGTATTAACGAAATGGGTCTATAATTTTCATGATCACCAGGATCCTTACCACTCTTAAGAATGGGTATCACTTTAATGATACGCCACTCCCTTTCAACTTCCCCCCTCAAAAATGCGTCACTCAACGTATTTACCAACATTTCCTTTGAGTCATCAGAGAGCGCACGAATCATTTCGTACGTGATTCTATCATGACCCCCTGCCGATTTTTTTTTCTTACTTTTAAGTATAGAATTCAGCTCCACCAAGGTGAACCTTGGAACTGTCGTGTCAAAACACTCAGCATTTTCATCATCCCTCACATCGTGACAATTCATTACTTGCCCTTTCAAATGCTGGAGAAATCTATCGTTCCATTCCTCCGGCCATTGTGACATGTCTGACTTTCTTGAGTTTCCTTTTAAGTTGTTTACGAATCTCCAGGCCTCCTTAGTATTTGGCTCCATATTCAGCCTCTGTACACTTTCCATGAAGTTTTGATTTTTCGCTTTTTTCACTTCATTCTTCCATGTTTCCTCANACAAGGTTCAGACTATTACATCTTCTTACAAACTCATTGACTTTCTGCTCCAGCTTGACAGTTAATCTCTTAAAATCCCAATCGTGTATTAAAATAAGAAAATCATCCGCAAATTGAAATACATCAGTCCAATTATCCTCACATTCATGTAAAGATCTGGTATATACATTGAACAGAAGTGGAGAAAGGCAGCTACCTTGTGGTAACCCATTACCTACAGTAACTTCACTTTTCCCAAGCCGTAATACCCTTTCCTGCAAGAAGGACCTAATCCAGTTCACATACTTGCTTTCAACCTTAAAACCCTTTAGCATATTAGACAAAGACAGCGTCGGCACACTGTTATACGCATTACTAATGTCCACAACAACTGCCACAACTTTTTGACCTCTATCCTTGTACACATGAATATTTTGTAAGATTTCGTTTAAGCACATGGAGGCAGACCTCCCCTTACGATAAGCAAAACATCTATTTGGAAGCACACCCTTTTCAGCTAGGAAAGGGTCCAATCTGGCCTTGACCATCAAATTAACAGTTTTAAGAAGAACCGGTATTAACGAAATGGGTCTATAATTTTCATGATCACCAGGATCCTTACCACTCTTAAGAATGGGTATCACTTTAATGATACGCCACTCCCTTTCAACTTCCCCCCTCAAAAATGCGTCACTCAACGTATTTACCAACATTTCCTTTGAGTCATCAGAGAGCGCACGAATCATTTCGTACGTGATTCTATCATGACCCCCTGCCGATTTTTTTTTCTTACTTTTAAGTATAGAATTCAGCTCCACCAAGGTGAACCTTGGAACTGTCGTGTCAAAACACTCAGCATTTTCATCATCCCTCACATCGTGACAATTCATTACTTGCCCTTTCAAATGCTGGAGAAATCTATCGTTCCATTCCTCCGGCCATTGTGACATGTCTGACTTTCTTGAGTTTCCTTTTAAGTTGTTTACGAATCTCCAGGCCTCCTTAGTATTTGGCTCCATATTCAGCCTCTGTACACTTTCCATGAAGTTTTGATTTTTCGCTTTTTTCACTTCATTCTTCCATGTTTCCTCACACTTAAGGGCATAGTTAAAATTTTCCGGGGTCGGTGCAGAATTACATTTCTTTCTCGCCGCTTTGTATAATCTGAAAAATTTGTTTAAGTCCTCTCTCCACCATGATTTTGGTGTTTTATCATTTAAAATCGTAGTGGCACTTTTAATCTCATTTTTTAGGGTCTGTGTAACGCAACCTACTGTGGGTTCAAACTTAACCTTATTCAAAGAGCTAAACAACTTTTTTTTTTATAAAAAAACTGACACAATTGGTTTCTGTAAAATTCACATCCGTCACAATAGGATAGTGATGACTCCCCCCAATTTGAAATTTTAGCACCTCCCAATTAACTTGTGTGGACACATTAGTAAAAGTTAGGTCCAACACCGAACCCCTTTTCATGTCATTAATCACTGGTCTGAAAGTGATGTCACCATTGTTCAGGCATTTAAAGGTTGAAGCATTTATGAAACTGGACAGCCATTTCCCTTTCGGGTTATCAACTGTATCCCCCCATACAACCGAGCGAGCATTCAAATCGCCCATTACAAAAACATTATTAAAAGCTTCAAGAAAATTAAAAAGGTTTGTGATGAAATTCCTAAACACAGTGAGATCCATTGACGGTTCACAATATACCGAGCAAATAACTAAATTTGTGATCAGATTAGTAGTTTGTACCACACTAACATCATGATCTGATAAATATCTCAATCTCTTAAACTTAATGGCTTTGCGGAGGGCTACCGCAGCTCCCCCATATCCATCAGCTCTTTTCTTTTCCACCAAATTAAAATTAAAAATATTCTTCCTACCATTTTCATCATCATGTGAGTAAACCTCACTGAGACACAAAATATCAAAATTATTACTATTAGCAAAAAAATCTAAATTATTGGCATTCTTCTTTAACGATTGTACGTTATATTGTAGTATCTTCATTCTGATGATTAATTATTAACCCATCATCTTGACTCGTGTCACTATTCTCCAGGCTCAAAAAGTGCTGCTTTAACCGATCATTAAAGTGCACAAAAGCATTAACACCTGCAGGAAAATCAACCTTACGGAACGCATCTCTTGCAAACTTAGTCATTTCAGTAGTGATCTTCTCAATCTCAGACACAATATGTAAGTTTTGTCTGTTCAAGGCTATACCATTTTGTTGAGACGTAGTCCGCATCCTCTTTTGAACTGCTTCTTTCGGTTGCACCATCCTGACTGTATTTATCTTCCTTGCACCAGCATTCTTCAATTTACTTGCAAAGCTCATAGGAGTAAGAACAGCATTCGCCTCCCTATCATTATCCCTCAAAACGGATTGCTGTGTACTAAGCTCTGGAAAATCTTCCACACTTAGTAACTCAAACCTGTTACTATGACCCTCCTTACACTCATTTAGAGCCTCCAGTCTTGATTTTCTCTTTAAGGTCATAATCTTAATAAGTCTATCCTCCTTCATCCAAACAGGGCAGTGAGACTTGTTGAACGAATTATGCGACTCATCACCGCATAAAATACATTTGGTCGAAGTACAATTCCCCACACATCCATCATTTTTGCCACATTTCAGGCATCTTTTAGCTGACTTGCACCCCTTCTGCGTATGGCCCAGCCTTCCGCACTTGAAGCACTGTCTCACCATGGGATAAAAATGGTTAACTTCCAGTATTGTGTAATCCAAAACCACTTCTTTTGGAATACAATCCCCCAAAAAAACAATCTTCACCGACAGAGTTGGTATTCTATTGCTACTTTCTTTGCTTTCTCGCTTTGTGAGCCGCTGAACCGACATAACTTTAACCGCCGATCTCAATCCCTCCCTGATCTCTCTCTCGGAGTACTCAACCGGAATGTGTCTAATAACTCCAAAAGTCTCAACATAGTTCTTTGGAATGAATGTCTTAATTTTTACCGATTTTAAGACATCACTTTGTACACACCTATTCGCATATGAAGCATTAATAAAGTACACTTTGTACAACGTAACTCCTATAGCCCTTATCGTATCAATGCCCTCAATTCCCAAATCCTTAATCCTGCTCCACAAGTATAAACCGTTTCTTACTTTCTTGTTGTGCACCGTGTCACATAAGTTAGTATCAAACAGTACACATGCTAACCCTTTATGGCTTGCTGGGTATAAAACCATTTCTCTTTCTCCTCTTTTTCCATATTCACTTGACATATTTTTGCCGTTTACACTATTCGTCGCTTCACCATTTTCGCCAACTGTACCATCGGCAAATGTCCCGTTACCAGTTAGCGTCATATCAGTCCCGTTACAACTTGGCGTCACCTCAGTCCCGTTACCTTTTCCTGTACCTATTCCCTTGTGCCTCATCCATTCCACAGCATATTCCTCAAAATCCATGTTAGAAGGATTGACGGAACCTAAACCCTTTGAGGGCCCCCCCTTTTTGCAATCATTAGCATCCGTTTTAAATCTTTTATGTTTAAAATCCACCAGAGCCTCCACATGCTCCTCCTCAGTCTCCCCCAAATCATCAACTTTTGACGCCATGGCGTCACCTACTCTACCTTCAACAACACGTTTCACTTTCCTTGCACGTATTGGCACAAATTAATTGAAACACAAAAAGCACAAAATCAAATAGCAAGATGCAGCTTACCGTTGGGCAAAGCCCCCAGCAATTCCACAAAAACTCCAAAAGATTCCGCAGTGGTCACCAGGAATCCGCAATCCAGAACAAAAATCAAACTTGCAATTAAACTCGGCACAAAACTAATTATTCAAAAACTGATAATTAAACTCAGCACAATTACACTGAAACCGCAGCGCAGAGATCAACCAACCACCTTCTTCGCTTGCTCAAATGGAAGTGTGATAAAAACATAACAAGGTAAAACCATTGAGAGGCAGTCTGACGTTTGCCAACAATATAATTTTAAAATCAAAACTCAAACTCACACACACATTGTCATTTTCAATCTCAAACAACAACAATTGTGAACAATTTAATTTTTGTATTTTCAATTTTATATGATTTTAAAATGTTGGCAAACGTCAGAACAAAATCATGGCCGACGAATTGAGAGAATGAATTTACCTTGTAATGTTTTTATCATGGCATATATTCTTGTTGTTGTTGTTGTTGTAGCGGTTGTATATTCTTGTCATTTCGTTTTGACAATTTCCTCAATGGTTTTTTAGGATTCGGTAAGGTGTTTATGGGTTTTAAGCGAAGCGCACATTGGCGCAATTCTGTCGTTGCGAATCCGCAAGCCCAAAAATTACAACAATGCTACCCATACATTTTAATGCGCTAGCGCACACTTGCACGACCGTCGCTGCGAATTTTTCGAACATTCAATGTTCCTCTCTATTGACGCGTTCGAAACGCGGCTTGCAGCGTTTTGAAGGCGTCAAAGAAGAAGAAGAAAGGTGTCACAGCAATAAAGGCAAAGAAAAAAAAACGTGTAATGTACAAAAACTAATAAAAACGTTCGTAATAATAGTATTTTGTACGATTTGGGCACGCCGAGTGCGAAAATACACGAAATAAAGGGAAAATTGAGTGAATTGCACATCGGAAATCGACGCGAAAAAATCGCTCAAGTGTGCGCACGTTTGCGGATTCGAAGTTAACAGCCGAATTCGCAACGCATTCGCAACGATGGAATCGCGCTAATGTGCGCTTCGCTTTATTTCACCAGTTTTGCTGAAAACTTTCCTTTTTTCTACAGGAATCACTGATAATACCTTATAAAATTAGGTCACAAGTATAGATACATATATCCCAAGTATTCAACAATAGGGGTATTCTCTGAGTCTTGCAAAGCCCTTGCACAGTGCACGGATTGCACGGTTTGCAAAGCTGTCCCATACGAAAACCGGTTTTTACCGTGCAATCTGTGCACCATGCAATGGCTTTGCAAGACTCAGAGAATACCCCTACTGTCTTTTATCAATATTATTTATGAAAATGTTTAATGCTTTCATAATTATTTATTGTGCGTCATATTGCTTTATGTAAATCCACACAAATTATCGAATAAAACCCCACTGCCGGCATGACACGCCCATATACACTCTGGCTTACAATTCGAAAATATTAGTTCTGGTACATATATTCAACGCTTTATCTCAGTTATTTGTGTGTGGTTTGTAATTTATTAATATTCTTTTAAGGCATCCAAACCCTTTAGCACAATTCATATTTATTCTAGTAACTTCCGTGTGAAACTTTCTATTTTATTGTTTGACAAGTCATTTATTACTCAAGACTATGTATTTGAACACTCAGCCTCATCAATAATTCCAGAGCAATTTTTCGTTGTTAATAATAAAATTTGCTAAAAAACTTTTCAAATAAAATACAATTATTTATTAGGGGAAAATACTGCCCATCTACTGCCAATTTTTACTTCTGTATGTACATCTGCACTTCAATTTACATTCCAGTGTAATGATGCAATCCCAATTTCCAGAATTTATCCATGTAAATACCAAATTAAAGCCCAAAACGACTGAACTTCATCCTTAATTCATTTGTTTTGTAAACTTTAAATTGACGGCACTATTAATATGGACGGTGGTCTAACTTACGCCTCTTAATTTTTGTAATTTATGGCATCGATCATAATAAAACATTTATTTTAGCGCAATACACAACAAAATGTGTAGAAATCTCTGGGAGCATTTAAATTTAATAATCACTTTTTATTATAGATTGTTTTTTCTACATATCGTAAGATAAATACCAACACATAGTCTTGAAAATGTAAGGAACATATCGTTATAGAATTGGAATACTATCCATGGTACTATCGATAGTATCGATGTTTTTTGACTATCGAAAACAGTTGTATGTACTATCGATAGTTTTCACTTACAGCCCGATTCTGAATAGAAACTCCCTAGAAATTTTTCCTCATTTCTCTTTCCTCCTATCATGAATAAAAATTCCCTGAGGTTTTTTCCTCTTTTCCCTATTCTCCTATTCTAAACGATCTTCGAAAAAGGGAAAATGTATTTCGGGAAAAAAGTAGGTATTACGAATGTCAAAAAGGAGGAGAATTGATTAGGTTAATCTGGGAGAATTTTCACCGGTATTTTAAAAGGGAACTGCTATAAAAATGTAAGTTAGTTACAATTTAAAGGAAATTTGGTGCAATGAAACGTTTAAACCTTTCATTTTAGGTCAAAAACAACAAATGAGAAATAGGTAGAAATTTTAATAAGCCAAATGGAAGTTAGGTTATTTTGTTTTATTACATGAAAACGCACGATTGAAATCAAAATATTTCAACTCACATGTGTAGTTAAAAGACTAAATTTTAATTTAGCACTAATATTTAAAATTCCGGAGCACTAGTTTATTAATAATGCGGCTTCCAATATTCACAGTGGCAACTGGACCTAGCAAAGGGTACCCTTTGGTATTTGCACACTTATTTTGGTATATTACATAAAAACGCGCGATTGAAATCAAAATATTTCAACTCACATGTGTAGTTAAAAGACTAAGGGCCGGTTTCTCTATCTCCGGTTAACACTAATCCTCCGGTAAACATCGTTACCGACCTTATCGACTCCCTGTTATATGCATGGAGTTAGAACGTCGATAACAATGTTTAACCGGGGAGTTAGTGTTAACCAGAGATGGAGAAACCGGCCCTAAGGCTGTGTGCGAGTACGTCTAAATTGCTACCTAAATAGAGAAAATCTTAAATCACTGTTTGTGTTGGTAATGCAGTGAATAGGAACAATTTAGATTTTTTTCGAGCATACTTTTCAACCTAAATTGGACTGTGCAATATAAAAGGGCACGCGATTAAACGAAGAATGATTTTTTTAGAAGTTTTAAGTAATTTTTATCTTTTCTATGGCACAAAAATAAAATATTCCAAAAAATTTCAGTATAAATATCTTTGATTTTCGTAAAAGTAAAGAATAGGGGCCGATGACCTAGGAAAAAAGAAAAAGTGGGCGTGGCTCGCTCCTTATTCTTGATTTTGATTGTATGAATTTTGTTTTGCTGCAAATTAAAAGTGTCGGTGCAAGGGGTGGTAAAAGTGGAATTTTCAATATTTTTAAAAGGTAAAGGTATTTGGAAAGGTAAAATATCTTTTATCAAGTATGTATATCTATATAAATAATATATACATATTTAGAGAAAAAGGAGACTATATCCTTTTTTAAATCAAAATGTATGTTTTTTCTTGAAAAACTTCGTAATCAGTCACGGTGGAGAGAATACAGCAGGTGGCGCCGATGGCAGTACCGCTAATCGGCTCTCAGTCAATTTGACAGAATCACCTGTTTTGCTGACGTCACAGTCGAGATGACAGCAGTAGTGATGTGCTGAGTCAATACTTTTAAGTATCCAATACTCTCGCTACTCGGTACCAAAACATTTAAGTTTCGAATAAAAGCGCACATAGGCCAAAAATATGGAAGAAACGGTTCAGGGGAGACTCGTCTATCAAAAACCCGAATGTAGAAGCCAATAGAGCTTTTAATACTGATTCAAATGAAAGCTGTATATATGTCGATTCGAGGCCATAATGCAGAGAAACTCTTACTTGTTTGAAGCATTTTTGTTCCAGCTGAATTGGACGATTCTGTAACCAGTTAGCGACAATTTTCGAATCGGTATCGGTTTTGTTGACGTCAAAGTATTGATATTTCTCTGTTGCGATAAGTTCAAGTGTTTTAGCCGATATCATATAAGTTAATAATGAAAGTTTTTTCTAAACTTGAAATGCATATAATGGCGAAGGTTTAATGTAAAGAATCAGTTTCTGGTACCGACAAGGAAATATTGGGTACCGCAACCTTTTTTAAGTATTGGGTACCGATAATTCAGCACATCACTAGACAACAGTTTTAATTGCCGCTATCAGTTGTCAACTCTACGGTGACGTCACTCCAAAATTACTCTCACGAATTCTGCTGCAATCGGCACATTCTTGTATTCTATTATAACACCCGATTTACACGATTCAAGTACTTGAAAGCAATTCTTGCTCATTCTCTTTTGTGTTTTCTATTTGCTTTTACACGTTTCAATTCTGTTGAACTCAAGTTTTTGGTTCTTTAAATGGGAAGCAACGAAAATGCCAAAAGCAAAGCAAGAAACTTGAAACGAGTTGACGGTACAGACGCATGTGTACTCGTCCCTTTTCTTCTCACCCCCTCTCTCCCACATGCGAGCAGAATAGAATTCAATACTTGAACTGTGTAAAAGCAGTCTTACGATTATCATTGAAACCTCGTCCCCCGTGCCAAATCTCTCGGTTCGTATCGCTGGATTGTTAAATAAATGCAGTTGATGACCAAATTGTAGTGCAATTAACTTTATTGTACAACAAACAATTTACAATAATAGCTAATACAGTAAAAACAATTTACNGTGGCGGCGCCCTTATATACCTGCGCTGGCACTTATGGCAACTCTAGAACATTCTGAAGTTTATCGCTCATTCTCTTTCTCTCGCTGTTCGCAGTGTTCATCCAACTTGACGTTTCTCTTTGTGGAACATTCTACGTCATTCCTCGAACATTCTGCCTATTTCTCGTTGTTCGCTTTGTGTTGCCGCAGTATTCGCCACACTGCCCTCCACCTAAGTCTGATCGTCCCGAGCAGACACACTTGCTGCTCCAAACGTTGCTAGTCTTTCATCTTGGTTCTAGGTCTCCCAGCTGTCTGGATTCGATGCATTGCGTCCTTCAGCCGTTTGTCAATCCTATACGGACCTTTCCAGTTACGATGTTGTTTGGAGGTGAAGCCTTTCTTCGGCTGCGGCATGTGCAACAACACCAAATCGCCTTCCTGTAGCTCCTCTCGACTCGATGCGTTACTGGATATTGCTTCCAGCTTATCTCCGGTGGTGCACCATCTCACAT